TTATTTTGAGTATACATTTTATGTTTATTTTTGGTGATATTGCACTTTAAAGAAGGGTATTTTCATATTTTTGTTGTAGGCAATCAATTTTAGGCATTTGGACCAAAAGTAGCAAAAAGGACAAAATTGGGAGCCAAAACAATGAATTTTGGGAATTTGGCGCCAGATGCGGCAGAACTAGCTCCAGAAGCACCATTTTACAGAGAGTTGGCGCATGATGTGCCAGATTGGGCTCAGAAGCGTCATTTGACAGAGAGCCGATGCCAGATGCGTTAGATTTGGCACCTAAAGCTCCAAAACCTAGAACAACGTGGACTTAAGCAAGTTGGCACCAGATGCGTCAGAACTAGCGCCAGAGATTACTTTTGCAGATTAAGGCGGTTTGGGATGAATTTTGTGAAAATTTCCAAAATGACACTTATTCTAACACCCCTTGGAGTGATTCAATACATCTAGACATTTTGAAAGGTTCTTTTATGAAGGGATATATCTCTTGGACTGTTCTAACTGACTAGAAGCCAAGTAACCTCAGCTGATTGAGCCAAAGAGCAATCGAGCGATTGATTCGTATATATAAATTACCAAGAATACCCTATATAGCATCGCCCCCCAACCCCGCCATGTAAAAATGTTTATATTGTACTCTTTTCTATGAATAGGAATGTCATCTTATGACTAAGACACGATAAACACAACATTTTACTATTCCTTACTGTTCACTTCTCACTTTCTCTCTCTGTCTTTCCTAACTTACATTTTATTCCTTGGGGTACGACTCTCGGATAAATTTGGATTCAACACTCACGGTAAAACATCATATTTTTTTCCAATTTTTAGAATGTAATTTGCTATAAATGTATGCTTTAAAAAATATTATTTGAGGTGTTCAATTTTTTTTTCTTTAAGATTTTACAAGTCATAAAATTGCGTAAAGATGGGTTGGGTCCAGCACAAGTGCTTATTTTGCTCTCACGAGGAAAGAAGAAATAATTATTACATTTTTACAGCATCCACTCTTCAGATGGCTTAAGCTTCAGGTGCTTGCCTTTTACCTTAGAAAGATTTATATAAATACGCCTCAATTCTCCTGTATTTACATATCTAACACCAAAACATCAATTTTTGACGTACACCCCACCTTCCCTATGCCTAAAAAGGCATATATTTCAGCCTTTAAAAGTCAAACTGATGATAATTTCTATGTGATGAAAATTTTGAGTGGTGTAACGTCAAAAGTAAACTTTAGGCATTAGATATGTAAATACATTAGAATTGGGGGGCATGCATGTAAATACCCCCTTCTATACTGCTCCAGATTATTCAATAAGCTAAGGGTTGGACTGTAATTCCATGTTTAAAATATGCATCTCTTAACCGTTGAGCTTCTTATCAAATCACATTCAATAGGAACTAAATTATAAGATTTAGGATGGATTTTTGTTGAGACTGGAGAGACTGATGGCTCATTTAAACTGGCAAGTTAGGCTCAAAGATTTTAGATGAAAATTTTCTAAATTTTGAAATGAAAAAAAAGGATAAGTTCTTAGTATGTAGTGAGGTAACTTATATATGTTAGTTGCTTGCTGATGGGAAATCTAGTATTGGCAGTTTCTCAGTTATTTATCTTATTATTGAGAAATTTGTATTGGACTATTCGCTTTTATTCTACTATCAATTTCAAACGTGTTTTCGGGGGCAATTGTGAGAGAGCTCGGATAATAATTCTTAGTATTTTAGTCAAAGCCTTTGATCTTAGTCAGTCAACTCAAATATTTATTTGATTATCATCTCTTTGAGGCTCATTTGTCTCCTTTTACGAACTTTTTATTTTGGCAGAAGTTCTATTTTTTTATGAATATTTTTATATTCTTGTATATTTTATAGGATTTTTAGTTGGAGTTCTATCAAATTTATTTCTTTATTTTAGCTCCTTTGGGCTCTTTTGTGACATATAATTGTTGTTTTTTATTTTATTAATTTAAGTATTTGGCTCATAACATTCCTTTTAAAAGATAATCTAATATAACGTTTTAGAATAATTTTTTTGTAATTAATATTAGATTTACTTTAAGATAAACACATTACATTGTTAATAAATCAAAACTTTTATTACTCTCGTTTCAAAATAAATCTTATATTACAAAACATATAATGGTTAAATTTAATTTAGGATATTTTGATTAAAATCTATTCCTAAATTTTTATAGGATTCATATGTTTTTTTGGAGCTAATTTTTTTTAAAATAATTAATATTTATATTATAATATTTTATTAAGTGTAACTAGAACTCAATAATAGCTACTTTTGCTAAATTGATAAGAGATGAAAGTTACATCCTAATTTGTGGCATGCTCAGAAGCTTGGTATAGTTGTATTTTAAAACTGAAAAAATTTCTTAAAAAATAGTAAAAAAAATGAAATCAATATGATATTTGAATAGAAAAATGACTACTACTAAAAAAATAAAAAATAAAAACTCAAAATTGAGTAATTCATTTTTGTACTCCAAAAAATAAGTGAAAGTAAAATTTTCTTTCTAAATTATGTTTTTCATCTGCAAATTACTTAAATCACTTCTTATATTAATCTGAAGAGTCCTGCACAATACAAAGCTTATGTACAATGTGATTCACAAAATAAATTTATTCAATCACAAATTTCAATATCATTTTTTAGAGGTAACAACCACTTAGAAGTAAATTAAATAAATATACTTCATAGGTCATCTGAAATTTATTCTAATGAACTTACGATTGAGCATGTGTACACTTTGATTTCATGAATCTAACAATGCCCATTCAAATCAATATGACATTGAAATGTGAGCTCATAAAGTATACTTAAGGGTTTCTAGATTTATTTTAATGTCCTAACCAACTCTAAATTTTTAAGTGTTTATAATTAAAATAAGTGTATTATTTATTTGATTAAAAAATTAGATATCAAATAAATTTGAGTTTATTCGGGCACCATAACAATAAATAATTGAGAATTTTTTGAAATGTTGTCACAATAAATATAATTCTCTTTCTCAAATTCCCAATACAACATGTATGTACACCCATCCTTAGTGTTTACAGTTAATGATGCCTCTAATTGGTCACTAGATCCCATCATAGGTTGGGTGGCATCAATTAGACCAGCCAAGTCACTTTTTTATTAACAAAAATACATAATTAGTCTTCTTTTTGGAGAAGTATGCAAAATATTCTGGGTTTTTTTGTGTCTATTGGAGTAGCCCCATCAAAATCTATCAAACCTTAAATCATTTTATTTTTCAATTTTGAGCTAAAAAGCTTAAGATTCATAGAAAATTTTGAAGCTTTGATTGTTTTTAGGGTCACTAGATAGCCATTTTGATGTTCACAAATCTATCGAAAATATTTTGACCAAGAGCATTACATAGTTGCATTTTATTGACATCTATCAACCACAATTCTACTTCCTACGCTAGTTGTTACATTTTATTATCAATCAATTCCCACTGAGCAATATTATAACAACATTAGTCATCTTCTTTCATCATTAACTAACCTTCATCAACTTCTTATTTTTGATGTAGTAATCACCCCTTTTTTATCAATTAACATCCATTGTATCCAACCCTCGACCTTGTGTTGTCTAATCTAGATCTGTAACATCCGTCATTTTCAATGCGGACCAATAAAAGACTTTTAACTATCATTGACTATCGATGTTTAACATCAATCGGTAGGTTGCCTTATCCTCGTTCTATAAAAAGAGCAGTCAAGTTAATTTTCTTTCAATACTTGGTGTTCGTCAACATTTGACTTTCATCAATAATAGAAGTTTGACATCCATGGATTACCAAAAAAATGATATTTCTTATTTTTTTCTTTTCTAACTCGTCCATCAATTATCGACCTTTAGAGTTACAGTAGCATGCTTGTTTTCTCGGTCTCTTTTCATGTAAGAAAAATGATTGAGCTAATGGCATCAACACCACAGTCGTCTTTCATTGACATTGGGTACTAATATCATACAATGTGCTTGGTCAATTGAAATCTAACTCTTGATGCCAATCATCACTACTTTCAATAATATCACACACACACACACACAAACATGTATATATATATATATATATATATATTGATGCCATGTGACTTGCCAGTTGTACAATATTTATAAGTGTTCTAAACTAAACACTTGTCAATCAGTTTTGCCAACTCTATCAATTGGTAATCATTATCCTTCACCAAAGTTACTACCTCATATTGCTACACTTGGAGATAATCTCCATTATAGTTTTATTATTATAAATTTGCATTCTCTTATTTTTAAGAGGATAACACCATATATATTTTTTATCATGATACTTTTAATGTAAAAAAAATAAAAATTATCTTCTCTAAATTTGTACAATTTTTTCAATCTTTATTTGTGTACATGGGATCTTTCTACAAGCAATGACAACTTTTTTTCTATAATATTGTAATTGATCTACACACAATAATGACACTAGCACTCCTATTTCAATACTTATTTTTTGTGATTCTTATTTAATATGATTCCGTCTAACATCATGCCCTTTTGATAAATTATTTTATCATGTTTCACTTGTAATGATTTTTGAAAATTTAATGTTCAATGAGTTTCACTCTTAAAGTTTACATCACAAACTTCTATCAATTTATTTTTTTTTTTTTAAAAAAAACTATTTATTTATAGGAATTGGAGATAGTGTAAATTAATTTTATTTCATAATTTTATATTATTTCTATGTTTTATTAAATTATATTTAATTATATTTATTTCCAAATTATGAATGCTTTTTTCAGCAATAATTTTTTGTCAACTCAAGTGAAAATCATATTCAAATTTATTAAATAATCACAGAGGCTCCTATTCCCCCCTCCAGATTAAATTAAATTAAATTTACTAAAAAAAGCACTCCATTCCTCTTTCGTCTTTAATTTTGCATTCCCTTTTAGTTTCTTCAAAACAACTGAGCTCTACTAAAATAAGCCCAAAAGATAAGAAATCTTCAGGCCCATATTCTGTTACTCCACAGTCTTCAGGAATGTCGGCAAAAACGAAATCGTGGTCGGAGCGGGAAGTTGTGGCGTTCTGGTCGGTCTCCGTTATCTTATCTTCTGATGGAACTACTACCTCTCTCCATTCCTCGTCTCCGATCGACCTTCTCACCATCCTTTTTATCCTTGCAATACACGCGCCGAGCGCCCCTTGCATTTCTATCCAACAATGGTTACTTCGCCGGCACCCGCCGATTGCCCCGCAATGCCTCGAAAATCTACCGCCGGCTCGATTCTTGCCTTGTTGTTCCACCTCCGGCAGGGCGCCGGCCCATCGCCGTCGTGAAGTTTCTCGGTGGTGCCTTTATTGGTGCGGCCCCCGAGCTAACCTACAGGTACCGAACTTTTTTCTGTATTTCTTATTCAGTAGCCCTAGAAGTTATTTGAGAAATCCAAACTAGATAATTTTTCGTTTGCTGGCAGCTTTCTGATGGAGCTCCTAGCTAATGAGGGGTTCTTGATAGTGTCTGTGCCATACAGTGTGACTTTCGATCATGCCACAGTTGCAAGGGAAGTGTACGAGAAGTTTCATTCGTGTTTAGATCGTTTGATTTATTCCGGACTTCCTGAGTCAGATCTTTCTGGCTCTGAACTTTGTGATCTGCCTCTCTTTTCTGTTGGGCATAGGTTTGTACAGCTCCGTATGACTGTTTTTCTGTTGTTTGTTGTCGAAAGGTTTATATTTATTTTATAATTGAGAAGATAGGATTTGGCTCTATTATTTTATGATTTTTTTTACTAATTATGAATGGGTATTTCTTGTCTTTTTTCAATGAATCTTGTTTACATCTTTGTGTGACTGCTTTTAACTCTGGCAATCATGTTTTAGCCTTTCATTCCATCTAACCAACTAGAAAATGTTAGCCATGCGTCTCTTAGAGATTAATTTCGAGAAGCTTCTCTTTTCATTCTGACTATTTAAAATTTTAATTTTTATTCATTTTATGGTGTTCGTTATGGTTGCCACAGTGAATTACCAATAAACTTTCATAGTTGTTGTTTGGTAAAACCTTTTAAATTGCCTTTGTATCCTTGAAGAACTAAAATTGCATTTAATTCTTTGAGTGTATTTTGCTTGTTGAATTTTGCAGCAACGGTGCTTTGCTTCAAATGCTTGTTGGGAGCTATTTTCCTGAAAAGATACCCAAGGCAAGGATTCTGTCATTTACTGCTGCCATTTTTTTTCTCATTGTGATGTGCAAATAAAGATAGTTTGCTTGTGAAGATGAAATTGATTTTTAAACAAAATTTGGGCTTTCAAAATGTCTCAAAAGAAATTCTCTCAAACAAAATTCTCTTTCTTGAAGGCCAATGCTGTAGTCTCATTCAACAACAAACCAGCTTCAGAGGCAGTTCCTTATTTTGAACAGGTTTTTAAACTTTCTATACTTCCTTATATTGATTAAAAATGTACAATAGTTTTGAAAACCAAAAAATATGATAGATGCATCATAAATGACTCAAATACCAAATTGTCGGACAAAACAGATAGAACTAGTGCTTTGCAAAGAATTTTCACGAAAGTTTTCATTCAGAAAGCTATCTTTGTTACACAAGTCATGGCTTTAGAAAATAAATTCTCTCTACTTTCAAGAATAGTTGCTCAATTGGGATGTATCTTTGGATCAAAAGTAGGGACCATGTAGTTTAATAATAACCGTAGTATTATCACTACAATATTCATCATTCACAATATAAATTCATATGTTGTGCCCTATTACTTGTGCAATTAATTTCCAAGCTTAAAATTTGGCAAAATTTAAAGCTTTACCTCTATCCATTGCTGTTTGATTCATATTTTGTGTAATGATTGTTAATTTGGTGCAACTAGTCCACTTAAATCCTCTAACATTTACAACATTGTCATTACTCATAGGTTTTTTATATAATTTTTTTTTTAAATTATCAAATTAAACCAACACATCCAAAATATAATAGCCATTAAACTGCTAAAAACAACTGCTGTGTGTTGACCTCATTTTTGGTGAGGTCTTTCTTTCCTCTTAGTGCTTAAAATATAACCATAAGACTTTCTCTTTGACTATCGTAGAAGACTAGATATGAAACTCACATATATGGAAATTCAAACCACCTCCTAGTTCTCTTCGAAATGCTACGTGGCTGGTCATAAACCTCCAACACTTGAAAGGTTAGGACCAACTTGTGAGATTTCGAGGACGAGTTCCTATAGGGTTTAGAAGCCTCAGGAACACCCATTACGACTTTCGTACATTCGACACGAATATCACGATTCGGATGGTCGATATGTTAAGTATTGCAATTCACATCACCTACGTCTTTATATGTTGCATAATTAATCGAAACTTAAATGAAATTTTGAAACAGTCGATAGCAAACTAAAATTTCTGCAAAAATTAACTTGATACATTTTTGATCCCGAATGACGAAACAAATCACGCAAGTGCGTCCGAAACGTCGATTTCATCTAGGGAGGACGTTTGTTTCGCAACGGCTTCGCGGGCGGGCTAAAAATTTGTAAGTTATCATTTTTAAGCCTGATTGTTGAAAAAGAGGTCCAAACGACTTCGAATGACGAAATGGATTGTGCGATCGCGTCCAAAACGTCGATTTTACCTAGGATGAACATTCATTTCACCACAATGCCAAGTTCGGACGAAAAATATGCAAATAATGATTATAATATTATTATTGTTATAATAATATAATATTACTATTATTATCTATTATTTTATTATAACTTACGCATGTAGCTATCAATAAAAAATCCTATTCTATTAAATGCATCGCACACCTCTCTCTCTCTCCTATACGCATGTCTCTTTTATTACTGCAACCAAAATAAAAAAAAATATATAATAATAAAAAACATATCATCTCTCTCTCCCACGCCTCCCTCTTCTCTCTCTCTTTCTTTCTTCGACGCCTCCTCGCTCTCCCTCTTCTTTCTCACGGCAGCCAACATAAAAAAACAAAAATCTCTTCTATCTTTGTCTCTCTCTCTCCCTCTCTCCCATCCCTCTTCCATTCTTCCCCTCACCTCATAGCCGCCTCTCTCTCCATCTCCCTCCTATATAAGAGTCAACTCATTTCTTCTACACCTCAAGGCAACCACTTTTCTCCTCTCCCTTTTTCTTCTTCCACCAACGAACCCCCTCCGGCGAGCTTCCCGCTTCGGCCAGGTATGTGCCCCCCACCTTTTTTTTTATTTCTTACTTATTCGTATATTCCTCATAACAAAAAAAAAAAAAAAAAGAAAACAACATGCACGCCAGTAACTTTCTATGTATTTGCATGAGAGAGAGAGAGATTTACATGCATGCACCCAAATTTCATACCACTTGATTCTTACATATTTCCACATTAAAAATATAAACTTTGATAATTTCATGTATGCCACTCATGCATTTATATTTATAATATTTCATTAAAAAAAAGGAATTTACGTGCATACAACCCTTATGGTTCAAAAAAGGGGGACGTTTATTTTTACATCCATGCCACTCAATTCTTTTTTATTTACATAAATAATTTTCTTTAACAAAAAAAAAAAAGAATTTACATGTGTACCACCTTAAATTTTTTCATGTTTATGCGTCTATCACTTTAATTTTTTTATTTTTTTTATTCTTTTAAAAATTTACACCTATGCCACCAATTCCTTTGACTTACATGCAAGCCATTAAAACTTTCATGTTTCCATGCATGCTGCAAGACTCTTTTGGATTTACCCATCTACCCCCTAAGCTTTTATGTTTATCTGCATGGCTATAACAAAAAAAGGCTCCATGTTTACATGTATGCTACCTTGTCCCCATTGTGATTGCATGTGCTTATATGCGTAACATTTAAAGTTTCATGATTACATGTACGGTAGCTTATATTTTATGTATCTACATGTTCACCACCTTAACATATGTTTGCGTGAAAGCGTTCTTGCTCTTGGAGATTTACATATGATCACCGATTGAGCTTCTTATTTACATGCTTACGTTATTAATCCGTGTGATTGCTAGCCTACATGCTTACAAATCGTATATATTTTCATGTTAGCCACTTAAACATGTTATCTAAATAAGGTCACTTAGTTTTATATGATTAACCACCTCCAACATAGGTGTCACCTTCACAAACAAAAGCTTAAACCAAAAAAAAAAAAAAAATAAAAAAAAAATAAAAAAATAAAAATATATATATATATATATATATTAGTGTTACATATTTGATATTAAAAATATTAAATTTTGCGTATGTGAAAATTAAATCTTTTGTGTTATGTATGTGATATTAAAATTTAAGTTTTAAGTGGGTGCTGACGTGGATAAGTAAGAAATTAAGAGGTATTTCTGATTTAAAAGAAATTAAGAGGTATTTCTGTATTTCTGATTTAAATAATTATAAAAACTTTAAAAATTCATAACTCGGTGTAGAAAAATGCTAAAAATAAAATAAATAAACCTATGTGCTCAGTAATTAGAGGAGAATAATGTGAACTAAAATAATTACATGGATTTAGTTAATTAAATGGATTAATATTGACAGTTCCTATTTCTGAACTAAAATAATTACAGAAAATAAAATAACAATAAAAAGAATACAAATTCTTCTCTGGTATTTTAATTAACCCATGAGTAGCAATTAAACAAAAATTTTTAAAATTATTTGGATTGAATTAAAGGAATTATGAAGTTAAAGGTCCCGAGGGTAAAATGTTAATTATGAAATTTTGAACCCAAATAAAATTTTAGGTCAAACCAAAGGATTAATGGGTAATATTGATCATAATTGACTCTCTAAGATGACTGAAACACAAAGGGTTAAGGGATAGAGGCTAACTCATGATATTTTCTAAAAAAATGGTAAAAGCATAATTTATCCAATTATTGAGGGTTGGAAGATGATTAAGTATGAAAGATTCTCAAGTGAGGGGCTTGAGAAAGAAAGACAATAATTAACTAACTTGAAGCCTCGGATTAATGATTAAGCATAATATAATGTTTAATAACGATTATCATCATTTTACTTGACTTTTAAAATTATAAATCTATCCTTAATAATCTAAGAGCTTGGTAGTGAACTAAGATCGATATGAAACTATTCAAAGGGATTAGAAAAGAAAGAACATAGTTTGTCATAAGCACTACAAGCTCAAGTTCAATTAAGAGAGAGTAAAATTTTTTTAAGTAATTAAACTCACTCTTGGGACGATCACCCATTCAAGCACCGAACAAAATAATTGCTAGCCTACTTAATGAGTTAATTAAGATATACTGAGCATAACTTAAAAGACATTAATTTAGTTCAGATGGTTTAATTAACAGTCTAGCAAGACCAAAATGAACTTAAAATGATCTAGAAGATTCCAAGTTTGTTTAGAGTAATTCTCTGGACATCCTTGGGAGATTTCAGATATTTTAAATGACATCTGGATCTGCCATGATTTGTTGAGAAAAATCATCCTGAAAACACAAACGATCATTGAAAACCCCTAAGGGCCCACCAAGTTACAGTTCGGGACCTGATAATTCACGCAAATCAATAGAAATACCTCGAACTAATTATCCTACATTAATAACCTAATGCTCAAGGATTTAAGTCTTACCAAAGGTATTTAAATCTTTGTGTGTGAGCAGGGATATTTGTTTGTGCCACATATGGATCATTGGACTGATGCAAGTCTGAGGTCTAGGTGGCTAGGGCAATGACAATAATTCTAATGTGTGCTGAAATGAGAGATACAATGAGGGATTTTTGAATAGTATCTCTTACTTCTAGGATCTTTAATAAAAGGAGAGGATAAATATCGATGATACTATTCGATGACTCTTGAGAAGATGATTGCCTCCAATATCTTAGGTTGCCTGTAGTCCAAACTTGATTAGATTGATTTACCTGTGGACTACACCTTTTTACAAAATATTTTAAACAAAATTCTCTTTTGTATGATAAAATTGTGTAATAATAAAAATTAAATTCAAATGAAAATTTGTAAAGGTTCACGGTTAATCACTTGAATCGAGGTTAGAACTGTCCTCCGTAGATTGTCGGGTGGGTAGCTCTTACCCAAGGCCGGGAAACATACAGTCCAGCTCTGAGCCCCCACTTTTATCGATGTCTTATGCCTAGTCCTGATTTTCCATATGTGATTGGGTTTTGCTTTGCGTGTTTGTGTTTTTGTTACTACTTTTCCGTATTAGGCTTTCCTGCTTTCATTTCCTGCAACTTATTTAAATTTTCTACAAATTATATTATGCTTTATGAATGCTAAAATTTTAGCGGAACGAGTAGATGACATGTATGTATTTATAGTTTATTTATTGTCATTTCATTTCTACAATTTACTACTATTTTAATGTATCATGCATGTTTGGTTGAAACAAATTTTCAAATTCAAAACAAATAATTTTCGAAATTATGATAAACTTTTTCCAAAATTAAACAGCGTTTTTAAAAACAAACAAACAAAATAATGCGTCCTTTTGGGTTTACGGGAGTCCCTCGGATGAGGTAACCAACGGTTGCTAACGAGATCTTCTCAATTTAAATGAGCTTAACAACTCGTTTAGACTAAGTAAATTCAAAAGAAAATAGTGGTATCAGAACGAAGGAACCGTAGGATCCTAACCCGTGTCGCTCTAATCAACTTTAACCCCCTATAACACTTGAATAACAAAACTTGATGTGAAAATCGTAAAACCATTTGAACCTTAGATCTTAGGACTGCCACTTCAAGGAGGAGCTCGAAATTAATACCGTGGGCAGCAAGACAAAGATGATTAGAAGAACAACTTCGTGAGAGCAACCAGATCTATAACAACATACATTCCTTAGCTTAAACAACAAACCATAGGGTTTCGAGGTAGTCCGTTTAGTACGGCGTAAATCCTCAACTCAGCTTTTAGGCTTTTGCACAATCATGTTGTGTAATTTAAGCTCTAACTCGACTTAGACTCTGAGGTTGTCGTTCTTTACGCTTCCAGGTTATTTGTATGACCGTGTCATGCAACTGTAAGCCCTGAGTAAATACAACTGACATGATAAAACATCAAATAACATCTTTTCAAAGTTAAAACCAAACAGATAAGATAGCATGAGTAGTCACCGAAGTTTCTCTCGAATCAGTGACATCTCCTAACTTTCATTCATTTGGATTTCTGAAAATTATTGTTTCAGTTTTGATCTATTCCCTTTTGAATTTCCAATGTCCAATCTTGGAAACTTAAACTTAGAAAATTTTGAAGGCAAAACCACTGATATGAATCGAGAGTATTCTTAAGTGGTTTTGGTCACTTAAGATGTAAGATGTAATTAACTATAGGGGTTTGTCTCTATAGGAAACTTTGGAACCCAGCTTAATATAAATCCTATTTAGCCTTCTATATTAAATGGAGGAATTTGTCGGTCAATATGAATAGTTTCGCAGATCAGAACGGATGTCATTGACTTTATAGTTTATTTAATCGAGTCTCACTATAAGCAATATGTTCATTCTTTGGAATAGATGCATCGCTTGCAGTGTTGTGCTCGTTTATTTAAACTATTAAGTATATAAGATCAGTTCGGTCTCGTATATTTTTTAAAATTAAAATGTTAATTTTCAAAATTATATATATACATTAAATTAAATTATATTTTGAAAACTACCAACTCAATGTTTGGCGGCCGACACTGTGGAAAGCTTCCTTGGCGATTGCAAAACTGCTGCCGTAGAGCTTTGTACAGGAAAGCAAATATGGCGGGTTTGCAATTGTTTGAAAAATGCTTCTAGGTTTGTTGTGGTGGTTAAAACAGCCGTGAAAGCTTATTATAACCACTGCTAAAGTCCGCTTTTTTCTGTAAGAACTTTTCCATATTTTCTTAAACATACAAGGTTGTTTATTACTTTTTTTCTTACTTTATTTTTTGGTAAACAGTTGACACGCCTGCATATTTGTACCACCAACCTCCTCCCAATCTAAAAGATTATAACAAAGGTTTTTTCCTGGAAAGTTCCTATGATTTGTGTATTCAGGTGTATTCTACATTCTTATCCAATGATTTACTAATTTACTTCATCAATTTCTATCATATTTTCTTTCTGATACAGTTAAACTGGACTCTTGCTACAATTTGCACTAAGTTTAATTATTTGGTTTATACCTCAGGTTATAAAATCGATACACTAACCTAAACTTTGCTATGCCATAGATTCTCAATGTTATGCCGCAACTTTGAGTTATTTTGTTTTTTTGAGTCCTTACACTATAACTAGCATTATTATTAATTTTTTACACCTTGAAGAGTTAATCTGGATTCTTTTTTGTGCTTTAACAGTTGATTTTCCTCTCTTAACTCTAGCTGACATTGTCAAACTTATTAATTCCTACTGCGTCTTACTTGAAACTGGTCATAGTTTGATTGTTGATTGAAATAACGTTATGCACAAAATTAGTGTCTATATGATGTTGATGCATCATTCATAGAAAAGTTTTTAAGATGATTATGATGTTTTACTTTCTTATAGTTGTCATTTAAATGTCACCAATGACTTGATTACCCCCAATGCTTTTTCTCTTTAATGTTTGAATTGTGAAATGATATGGATAAATATGGTTTAATGCCATGCTGGTATCTAGCTTGTAGGTTCTTACAGATGTTTAGAATTACACAATATGCATTGAGCTATTTACAGTTCCTCTACTATGATCTAGTAGTCATGGTTCAAATTAAGTAAACGCCCCTGATCTGCAAGAGCCAATGTAAAAGTCTAATGCAATTGGTATTTCTTTTTATATTAAACTATTTTGCTATTATCTGATATGCTGACTTTGCTCTTTAATGCGATTGTGTAGATTGGACCAGCTGCTAGGCAACTGATGCCTTTAGTGGAAGCATCTCCCATCTACTCCATGTCTCGAAATGCCTTAGGTACTGGGATCGGCATAATCTGATGGGTATCATTTAAGGAAGTAATACAACTTATTTATGTTGCTCTAATTGCATATGCTACCCTCATCAGTCTGTTAGGCATGCTAGCGTCAATTATGAAAGATCTAGTTTGGCGGATGTAAATCTGTAGGATGATGTTTTGACTTTTGTAACTAGAAATTTAGGTGATAATCATCCATATATTATTACTATATTTTTGGTACCATGTCTATTGAATCAGTATTATAACTTTTAAAATTTGTACATTATGTTACCATATTTCATGTATTGATAATAAAAATGCATCGAGACTTTATAATAATATTCTAGTGAGGTTTCTGTTTTATGGATTCGAGCACATAATATTATTTCTAAATTTTTTTGTGGGTGACATCAAGAATATTGTTACTACCAAATGAGTTTTGAGTTTAGAAGAAAGAGAGAGAAATATAGGGAGATATGCTTTTGTATTCATTGTCAGTGTTAGAAGGTTCACGACTGATGTAACATGCCATGCGTTGAGTTCATCCTTTGACCACCTATTTAAAGATCTAGGTAAAGATTTAATTCTACATAAATGACTGATGAAAAAAATATTATTTTTACATAAAATGACTTGATAAAGCATATTGTGCGGTGGGAAAATTGAATGACTGCCTGCTGATCAAGAGCTTGAAGATTTTTGCCTGTTTTAAGTTGAACGCAAATTCAATGCCATAAATTCTTTTGATGAATTCTTCCGGCGAGATCTCTTGATTAGTGGGCGAGTACTTTTGAATGAGTATTCAAGATCTTATACCAAGTTCTTTTGGTGAGAAGGAGATTTTGGTATATGGATTCTATTAATGAGTAGTCTTTCATGGTTGACTTCATGAGATGCGGCTTTTTGGCGACTTATGGCTTTAGACGATTTCAACCTTAACGAGTTTTGAGTTAGTTCATGATCAAAGACTTGTTCAACTTGATTCAGGCTTACATGGCTAGTTGATTAACCTAACTTATGGGTGTATTAGCTTCTTTTTATTTCTGAGAAGCTGAAAAAAATAATAGAATAGATCTTCAAAATATAACTCATCCTTTGTGAGTTGGTACATTGAATGCAATAAATCATGCAGATTTAATTGTTCATGTCAGACACTGTAGTTCAAAGGAAGTTATAAAACGTTGCACTAGGAATTTATTTGAACTTTTTTTTACTTTGTTCTTCTCTTGTCTCGAAATGATTGCTGGACTTATGAAGTCATAGAAAAGAAATGACTTATAAGCTCCAAGGCTACATAGTTGAGATATTATTCCCAAAGTCGCCTATTAAACATAAAGTTGAATTCATTGAAGACAACCAAAGAGGTTATTGATCAAGATACTTTTGTTGATCATTAGAACTATTAGTAGTCTCACTAATTTTGAGAAGACTAATCTTGAGAATATTTATTGGAAAGAAGTTATCGAGAATGTTGTTGTAGATGCCCCACGTTGTATCCACCTTAACTAAAGAGGCTAGAAGCTGGTTATGAGATCTGGAGATATTGTTATAGAATTCACAATGATGAAGTTTTGGGAACCACTCAAGAAGCAGGAATAAATGTGATATTTACCCCAAAAGCAGTAATGAGTGCTTCCTTGTAGACTTCTAATTCATCATTTTTTGAGTTGAATAGTTGTCTTGGTGATTTTAAAATAGGAGATCCTCTTGTAAAGTTTTCAATTTTTAAGCCGGTTGATTGTTTATTTTGTAATGGTCTTCTCTCCCTCGCAGTACTTTGACAAAGAAAGAGTTCGAAAACAGGACGGCTTCAAGGAATAGTAGTTTACAGCCCTAGTTCCTACTGGGAGACAAGTTTGTTTTTATGATTCCATTCAAATCAAAACTATTGCTTGACAGAATACTTCGATCCAACACTTCATTGTTTTGTTTGGATGGGTTAGAATACATTTGAAGGAAGAGTTTGAAAACGGGCTGACTTTTTGAAGTCCTTTAGAAAGTTTATCTTGAGAATATACCTTAGAAGAAATAAGTTTTTGAGATTTCTTTTGTTTGTTTGTTCTTCTTTGTTGTATTGCTTTATTTATGGTTTAAGGTTGTCTTCTATTATGAAATCATCCCATACTATGAAGTTGTTGTTTTTTGTGAAGTTGTTTTTTTTGCTATGATTTGTTTGATCCAAGGATAAAGCACTGTTGGTACGTTTTAAAACGATAAAAATAAATGCAATTTGATTATTTAATATTTTTTCTTATATTCAATTTGATGTTGAAGCAACAACTTGACTCGTGAATTTGACCATGAGTATTTGAGGATTTGAATTTTTTTCCTATGAATAATTTCTTTATGGTTGAAGAGATTCATTCATATTTCTATGTTTTTGACCTGTTGCAACTTTTTTCTTCTTGTACTCTGCACTCGTCTTCCCTCTGCTAGAGTGTTGCCACCTTGCTCAATTTTTCTTACATCTTTGCAAAGGTGGAGATGATTTTTGCTTCTTTATAACTATAAAGTAAGACCAACCTAAAGTTTTTGGAGAATGCATATGATTTATGTGATGAACAATACATGATCAATTTTGAATTGGACAAGTGGGTTCCTTTCTTTCAGGATATCACACAAATCCTGAATTTTTATTGTTTGATCTCAGCATATTTTATGCCAAATTCCTTTGGTAGCATAGTCTCATTTGGATTTTTTCTTCTGGAACAAAAGGCAATATGGAATCTTTACTATCAAAGCTTTCTTTTGGCATGAAGCCTTTAGTTCATTCTTTCTAGAATTTTCAACTTTATCTTGATAGCGAGAAAGGATCTATTTTCTGCTGGAAAAATTATTTTTATGTGGTGCATATTGATTATAATGTTGATTCTAATTATCGATATCCAAGTTGATGGCAACTGCTTGCTCTTTTTCCTATATTTTTTCTTTTTCATTACATTAGCAGCTTGTCAAAGTCATGTTGTGATCTTCATATGGCAACAATACTTGCACATGTTGCGAGCTGGCATATTTATTTATTTATTTACGTATGAGGCATATGAGAATATATTACATGCTCCATAAAAAGTCAAAAAAATTTAAAAAAATTGTTGGAAGAGAAGGATTCAATGGTTTTCTTAGCCTTAAATGATGACTTAGTAGAGAAAAAACTATCTTCCATGATCGTAGTTATCCAAGGTAATAAAGCTTTATAGGATTTGGAAGTCACTTGATAAGAGTTGGTAACTCCAGTTGAAAAGCTTTCCAAATCGCTAACTTCTCTAAGTAGCTTGAAATATGAATTGCAATTTGCAACTGGTCGATTTTGAAGCCTCTAGAAAGAGAATGAAATGTGTAAAGACCCTTTAATCAAACATGAAGATTCAGTACAGTCTGAGTGTTGGAAGGGTGAATCGTAAGCATGTTTTGATTCCAATATAATGAATTATCCATATCGAAGAATACATCAATTGGTCTTCTGATAAATATGATCTAGTTGTTCAATGACTAAAATCCTTGAGCGAAGGATGCTATCCTTACTTCCATATACATTATTTATACGATGCTTAGACAAGTTCTAATTCATGTGATTGTAGTTTGAGTAAAGGACAAAGATAAAGATGATCAGAGCAATAATGTCAACCATGAATAAAAAAGATTGAATTCCGTTATTTATTTATTTTTATTTTTGCTTTTGCCTAGTTTTATTTATTTAAAAAGTCCTGTAGAAAGCATCATATCATGAATTTTCCAAAATTGAAATACAAGAATGAATTTCTCAAATTTTCTCTTATGGTGATGCCAATTTATGTTTAGAGTAACCATTGTCTTGAAGATTTTGCATTATGAGTAGTATATATTTGAATGTTACCTCAATTCTTATTAATTTATTGTTCACATAACCTTTTTTTAGTTAAGTTGGCAGGGACGTGACAATAACACAAAATAATGCACTCTTGGGTGCGGGCTGTTAAAATTGTGTACTATTTGCATCATGCGAGTGCGATAGTGCATAGCTCCCATACCACATGATATTTAAATTTATATAAGTTAGAGTTTAAAATTACTATTAGTATTAGTTATAGTTTTAATGTCATTCTATTTTGATTTGGTTTCATTAGGGCGGTGATGCCCTTTGACTCCTGAGATTTGCCTGAGGCCTTTGGACTCTTAACTTCGACAGTAAATGAGGGTTCTCAATTTTGCCTTCGAGATATGCAAGGGTTCTTGATTTTTTGTTCGATTATTGTTAGGTTTCTTAGTCTCGTGACTAGCACCTTCTTTGAAGTGCACAAGCTCTTGGTCTCATCTTTGATGCACGTGGGGGCTATCAATGTTCTTGCATTCAACAAATAGTAGCGCTCTAACTTTGATTGATGAAGAATGTTGTTCTGGTTCAGATGAAGAATCTTTGAATGCTTTACTCTCCACTAGCACTCTCAAGATATGAGGTTTGTAATATGTATTTAGGTAATATTGTTTTTAATAATTTTGATATGTATTCAAGCAATTATTAGTAAAAAAGAAGTTGAGGAGGCTTTAAAGAAAACCAAGGGTGGAAAGTTTGTAGGACCTGATGATATCCCAATTGAAGTGTGGAAATATTTAAGAGATTTGAGAGTTTCTTGGCTTACTAAACTCTTTTATATTATTTTAAAAACTAAAAAGATGCCTGAGGAGTGGAGGAAGAGTATTTTGATCCCCATTTTTAAGAATAAAGGGGATGCACAAGAGTGTGCAAATTATAGAGGAATTAAGTTGATGTGTCATTACTAGTTGATGTGTCATACTTTAAAGTTATGGGAGAGAGTAATTGAATATAGGTTAAGACGCGCCACAAAGGGTTAAGATGCGCCACAAAGGTTTTTCATAATCAATTTGGATTTATGTCGGACAGGTCTACTATGGAAGCTATACATTTATAAATAGATTTGATGGAGAAGTTCAGAGATAATAAGGAGAATCTACATTTGATTTTTATTGATTTAGAAAAAGCTTACGATAAGGTTCCAAGAGATATCCTTTGGAGAGTTCT